GGCTAAATACTGTTGAATCACCTTTCTCTCTTTTTTTTTTTTTTTAGAGACAGAGTTTCACTTTATGGCCCTTGGTAGAGTGCTATGGCATCACAGCTCACAGCAACCTACAACTCCTGGGCATAGGCGATTCTCTTGCCTCAGCCTCCCGAGTAGCTGGGAATAGAGGCACTTGCCACACTGCTGGGCTATTTTTTGTTGCAGTTTGGCCAGGGTCAGGTTCAGACCTGCCACCCTCGGTATATGGGGCCGGCACCCTACTCACTGAACCACAGGCGCTGACCTTCTCATTTGTTTTGTTGGCCAAATCACTCATCCCTCATTCTATAACATACATTATATTTTCTCACATGCTGTACAACCTGGCTGAGGTGTAATTCTCCTGGTACAATTGCTACAGCAACATAGAGTTGAAAAGAACTTTAGGTATCACTTGGCCTGGCCCTTTTCATTTTACAAATAAGGAACTTGAGAGAGGTCCAAGGGGGTAAATCACTTACTAGTGATTTACTTAAAGTTCACAAAGTGAGTTGAGCAACAACTACAATCCAGTCTCCAGATTCCTAGTCCACTTATTCCCAAGAAATGAGCTTGCTACCCTCATCAATAATCCTAGCTGTCAAGGTGGCTCTGGGAAGGAGTTACAGCAGCTCTGCCAAAAGGAAAACCCAAGGGAAACCTTAAGTCATTTAAGCAAAAGCCTAGTTATACCTGTAACACCAAAATGAACTCCCAAGTGTCAGAGCGAGCAGGAAAAACACACCAGAAGAACACAAAGGGCCCTCCATGTTGTCTATGGAGTACTAACTCTTTTTGGAGGATACAGATTTTGAAACAAAGAGCAGATTCTGTAATTAAATCATTTAAGCCCTAAGTTAAGGACTATAATTATATATGATAACTGTAACAAATGTTCTTAAGTAACAAAGTAGTTGACAAATTTATGGCAGTCTACAACAATGTAATAATTGCAGGCTGGCTTTGTATAAACTTATTTTCTTCCATGCATAAACAAAGAATCTGGATACCACATATCAGTAGTTCTCAAAACCTGGTCCCCAAACTTTGGGGGTAGATGTATGGGGAGGGTTCTCTGAGAACCTTTGAGAGCATCTGTGAAGTTAAAAATCTTTCAAAATGATAGTTATTTTTGTCACTTTATGGACATATGGTAAAAAGCAATGGTGGATAAAATTGTTGGCACCTTAGAATAAACCAAGGCAGTGGCACCAAATTATATTAGTGGTTGGAATTGTTTTTGTCCTGCACTTATCCCCCAAATAATGTCAATTCCACTTTAAAATATCCTTAATGAAACGGTAAAAATTGGCTTGGCGCCTGTGGCTCAAGTGGCTAAGGCGCCAGTCACATACACCTAAGGTGGCAGGTTCGAGTCCAGCCCAGGCCCGCCAAAACAACATTGACAGCTGCAACAAAAAATAGCTGGGCGTTGTGGTGGGCGCCTGTGGTCCCAGCTACTTGGAAGGCTGAGGCAGGAGACTGGCTTGAGCCCAGGAGTTGGAGGTTGCTGTCAGCTGTGATGCCACAGCACTCTACCCAGGGGGATAGCTTGAGGCCCTGTCTCAAAACAACAACAACAACAAACAAACAAACAAAAACAGTAAAAATTATAGTTTTATTAAATCTTGACTGTTAAGTGTGCGAGTGGCCAAGTACACATAAAGCACTTCTGTAAACCTGAATGCAATGGCTGTCCACAGGATTTGGTTGCTCAAAAGCATTTGTGCAATTGATTGTGTCAAAAAATGTAACAAAGTGAGACTATTACTTCAAGGAAAACAATTAAAAGTATGTGTTGCCAATAACAAAATTCTAATTTCAAGTGAAAATTAGAATTCTGTAAAATCATATCTGCCACTATAAGCTTGAAAACTTCCTAATACTTGAAGACTTCTGATGAAATGAATGAAAACATTAAGGAATGCAATTGTTTAAAACTGTATAATGAAATATCTCAACATTAAGAAGACCTAACACAGGGAACCACTTATTTCCAAATGACCTATGTTTGACGCTGCAAAATTATGCAAAAAGGATCCATAAGATACATCAATGGATTTTAATGTTAACAAAGTAATTGTTATAGATTCAGATTCCACTTTTATCAAACTTTGGTTTGATAGCAAAAAATATCCATGATTATCTTTTAAAAGCTATTAAAATATTCCCCTTTCCAACAACATGTGAATGTGGGGTGGGATTTTTCTCCATTTTCTTTTTTTTTTTTTTTTTTGAGACGGAGCCTCAAGCTATCCCCCTGGGTAGAGTGCCATGGCATCACGCTCACAGCAACCTCCAACTCCTGGGCTCAAGCGAGTCTCCTGCCTCAGCCTCCCAAGTAGCTGGGACTACAGGCGCCCGCCACAACGCCTGGCCATTTTTTGGTTGCAGCCATCATTGTTGTTTGGCGGGCCCGGGCTGGGGATTCGAACCCGCCACCTTAGGTATATGTGGCTGGTGCCTTAGCCGCTTGAGCCACAGGCGCCGAGCCTCTCCATTTTCTTAAACACGAAACAGTGCAATGAAGAGCCAGGTGTGGTGGCTCATACTTGTAATCCCAGAATTTGAACAGCCTGGGCAATGTAGTAAGACTCTATGTCTACAAAATTTTTTTAAACATTTTAAAAAATTAGCCAGGCATGGTGGTGTATGCCCATATTCCTAACTATTCAGGAGGCTGAGGGGGGAGGATGACGTTAGCCCAAGAGTTTGAGGTAACAGTGAGCTATGATCAGGCCACTGCACTCCAGCCTGAGTGACAGAGCAAGACTGAGTCACTCAAAACAAAAAACAATTTAAAAAAATAACAGATTAAATGCAGGAGCAAGAATCCAGCTATCTTCCATTAAGTCACATTAGTTTTGCAAAAATGCCAAACAATGCCACTCCTAGCATAATTATTATAAAACCAGAAAATAAATGTTAGTGAAAGTGTGGAGAAATTGGAATCTTTGTGGATGGACAATAGGAATATAAAAATGGGCACAATCACTCTGGAAAACAAGATGGTGGTTCTTCAAAAATTAAACATAGTATAACATTTGATTTGTCAAGTTCCACTTCTAGGTATAAATAGTATCCCAAATAATTAAAATCAGGGACTCAATAAGATATGTGCACACCAATGAGCACAGGAGTGTAATTCATGATAGCAAAAAGTTGGAAGCAACCCAAGTGTCCACTGACAAATGAATGGAGAAAAATAATGTGGTATATACATGCAATGGAATATTATTCAGCCTTAAAAATGAAGGAATTTCTGATACATGCTTCCACACAGATAAACCTAAAAACACCAGGCTAGGTGAAATAAACTTGATGCAGAAGGACAACTATTGTGATTCCACTTAGGTAAGATATCTAGAATAGTCAAATTCATTGAGACACAAAGCTAATGGTTACGACGCGCTTGGTCACCAGGAGAAGTTAATGGGGAGCTGTTGTGTAACAAGTAGAAAAGTTTCAGTTTGTGATGATAAAAAAGTTCTGGAGACAGATAGCAATGACAGTGGCATGACAATGTTAAGGTACCTAATGCCACTTAACTGTATACCTAAAAATGATTAAAGTGGTTAATTCTCTTATATTTTACCATAATAGCAAAAAAAAAGTTAAAAAGGAGAACAAAAATCATGCCATTCTTCCCACTGCTTTGGGCATTATGTGAAGATCTTTTTTTTGTTGTTGTTGTTAGTATAGCTTGATTTGACAGCTGTATCACTTGCAACCTAGAGACTAGCAAAAAAAGACAGCGTGGGATATGGTCACAATCATCACATTAACTTTTTATAATTGCTATTGTCCATTGGATGCACCATAAGGACTGACCAACACAAAGCTCCAATGACACAGATGACTGGCAACGTACAAAAGAAAACTGTAAAAATCCTTTTTTTTGGACACAGAGTCTCACTGTGTTGTGCTGTCACAGCTCACAGCAACTTCCAACTCTTGGGGTTAAGCCATTCTCTTGCTTCAGCCTTTGAAGTAGCTGGGACTACAGGCACCAGCCACAACGCCCGGCTATTTTTTGGTTGTAGTTGTCACTGTTTGGCAGGCTCAGGCTGGGTTTGAACCCTCAGGTTTATGTGGTCAGCGCCCAGCGTAGCTGTAAACTGTAAAAATCTTTAATGCTGGTATGTTCCAAAATAGTTTGTAGATGTCTAACAAGGAACACACATATTTTTTTCTGCTGAATGTTCATTCGGCTTTACAGTTCTAGGAAGATGTGGGAATGGGGATGGTTGCGGCATTGTTTCAGAAGCCAGTGCATCAGGGCAAAGAATTTAATTCTCTCACCATCTTGCTACTGGTCTGTTGAAGAGGGGTGTGGTTAGAGAGCTAGGAAGCAATCCAAAACAGCAGCTGAGGCAGTCCAAAGCCGTGTCCAAACAATAATTTCTCCATTTTGGGCCAAGTCAATTTTCCCCAGCAAGAGGTAGATTTTTTTTTTTAAATGGGGAGGAGGAAAAGAAAAAGGAAATTAGAAAGCATGAACGGAAATAAGCAACAAAACTAAAGAGGTTGCATCTTGAGTGGATGATAAAGGACTGGAACGTTAATGAAGTGAGTGAGGGGGAAAAGGAAAATTGTTACTCCTGAGCCTACAGCTGTGATACTTTTAATGCCAGGGCTGCAGTTCTGCATGGGCCAAGCGTGAAATGTTTTGTTTTGTTTTAACCTGGACTATCTTTCTGCATTCATTTTGGCCTGGGTCTGTGACCAGTCTCGCTGACTGTGGCAGAGGCAGTCCCAAACAAAGAGGAATGGATACCCTCCCGAGGGAGCGGAGGGGTGGAAGTGGCCTCAGGTGGCCGCGCCAGGTGTCCCTCAGGGGTGGACCAAGCCGGCCGCGGGGAGAAGGATCCCAGGAGCTTCTCGCGGTGCAGGTGGAGAAGGCCGGGCCGGGACGCATGGCACTGCCGGGCAGTAGACCCCGCCCTGCACACAGTCAAGGTTAACCCGCGCACGGGAGGTACCTGTGGAAGCCTCGAACCGCCGAAAGGCACCGGGCGAGCATGGGAGCGCCGAGAGGCCGGCGACGGCAGACGCGCAGTCCGTCGGCTCGGGGGTGGAAGAGGCGGGCGGGGAATCCCGGTCGCCGCAGCCGTCGGTCGGCCCCACTGAGGAGGCCCAGCCAGCGCCCTCCCACGTGCGGCGGCCACACGCCGGCGCCGGCCCCGCCCCGCTCCGCGCCCCGCCCCGCGCTCCTGCACCGCCCCTGGGGCGGTTCTGGCAAGACTCAGCGGGCGGGGCCGAGTGCTCGGCGGGGTGGGCTGAGGGGGCGGCGGCGTGGGCTCCGGGGAAGTTTGGGCGACCGCTGCCAGTGCTGCGATTCCCAGGCAGGCTCAACCCCTGGAGGAGCAGGGGCCGGACGGACTGGCTTCCGACGCCTGCGGGCCCTCGGCCGTGGTCTCGCGTCCTCTCTCCGGGTAAGGGGCTTCAGTCTGGGAAGGGTGCGTCTCCCGCCGCCCCAGACCCGGGCCTGCACCGCGCCCCCGCTGCAAGCCGGGTCAGGGCCCAGGCGACGCCCAGGTACCAGAGGGAGGCAGACAGGGAGAGGGAGGTGGATGTGCTCTGGGGAGTGGAAAGAGAAGAAACCTGGAGGAGGTTGGACATCTCCTTTCTCCTCCGACCTCTTCCCCACCCCTCCCTCCACCCCTATTCTGTTTTCACCTTCTGCCCTTATTTAGTGCTTGTAATCGCATGGCCTACGCTGAGATTGCCTTTAAAATAAGTACATAAATAATGAACGTTCTAGGGGCGGGTACCACGTCCTGGCTTTGAATTAGGGAACCTGGGGAACAGATGGATGATGCGATTTAGTGGAAATAAGCCATTAATGCCGCTGGCCCTGCGCCACTGTTTGGATGCGATAGTATTCCATGTGAATGAACATGACCGGGAGCTTCCAGCTTGCCCACGAGAGCACAGCTACTGCAGACAGCGTTGCCCAGTTTGTAGTACCCTTCGACTTAGGCAATGATTTCCTGACATGTCTGTTAATTAGAGTGCCATTTTTATTAAGAACGACACAACGGTTAGCCTTTCATGAATGTACTTCCTCACCAGATAACTCAACCTACAAAAATAGGTTGAGTGTAATTATTAATACTTTTTAAAAATCTCATGAAATACAGGAAGATGTTTCGTATAGATCACCTTCTAGTCAGCAGTATGAGATCTCCCTCAGTTTAGTACTGAGGCCTTTGGGAGATTTCTATATCTGTATTCCTATCATTTTCTGTCTCTGTACCATATATACTGTTAAGATATAGTGAGATACTCTGTGAAATTCTAACGTTATCTTATACGTGTTTTAAGCATTTTTACATAAGTCAGATTTAAAATGATCTAATATTCCTAGGCATAAATGAAAATGTGTAATAAATTACCATAACAATATTTTGTGCTCCCCTGACTCTTTAAAAAAAGAAAATATGGCAGATTATGTAATTTTTTCATTTTTTGCTTAAAAAAATTATACCCCTGTCCACTCTCATCTTTTTACTTTTAATGTATTTATAACCCTTGTTATTTATTACCTTTGTAATTAATAACTTTCCTGATTGATTCTTTAAAATAATTTAGTGTTTTCATATTTCTTTTTTTAATGGAAAAACATTTTTCTTTTCTTTTTTTTCATATTTTCTGTCAAAGGAATAGTGCTTCTCCTATAAAATGTCATCCATCAAGCACCTAGTTTATGCAGTTATTCATTTCTTACGGGAACAAAGTCAGATGGATGCTTATACGTCGGATGAGCAAGAAAGTTTGGAAGGTAAGCACCTTCCCTTTGCATTTATGTGTTGTTGATAGAGACTAAAATAGCCATAAGCCCTACTTTGTGATTTATTATAACAAAATCAGAATATTTTGTTGATCTTACAAGAAGAGAGGCCTATCAGGTTATCTTTTTTTTTTTTTTT